TGCACTGATGTTATTGAGCCTGCTTGAGATTCTCTAAATAAATAAATAAATAAATAAATAAATAAATAAATAAATAAATAATTTTTAAAGTATTTTTCTATAGTGACACATCTGATATAAGCTAATATACATGTGTGTGTCTTTTCTGTTCCATTGGTCTAATAGTCTATTTCTGCAATACCACAGCTTTACTATCTTGTAGTAATTAGTTTAGTAATAATTTTGGTGTTAGTAATGGCCTATTTTTATTGTGAAATATAATGCACATACATAAAGTGCATTAAAACAGATGTTGAGCTGAATAAATACTTATAAAACAAACACCTTTGTTATCACCACCCCAGTATTTGATTACAATTCCATCTATCCCCACAAAAGTATTCATTATTTTGATTTTTGTGACAATACTTTCTTTGCTTTTCTTTATAGTTTTACCACTAGTGTACAGATGGAGTTATTACACTGAATACAATTTTTATTTCTGCTCTTTTGCTCCGTATTATGTATATGAGAGACTTCCATGTTGGGGTGAGTTGCTTGAGACTGCCCATGTTTCTTCTGTGTATTCCAATATATGCATATATGAGTGTTTGTTTATTCTGTCCACTTTTAATGAACATTATCTTAAATATTATAACTTTATACTAAGTCTTGATAATTGGAGGAGCAAGTCCTCCCATGTTGCTTTTCTCCAAAGAATTTGACCATACTTGGCTTTTGCATTTACATATACATCTTAGAATCTTCTTAAAATGTTCCATTACAAAATGGATTTACATTAAAATTATAATGAATCTATCAAACTTATTTTGAGAGAGCTGAGATCTTTACATATTGAGTCTTCTTTTTTTTAGGTTTTATTTTATATTTGAGAAACAGAGACAGACAGACAGACAGAGTGTGAGCAGGGGAGTGGCAGAGAGACTGAGACAGAATCTGAAGCAGGCTCCAGGCTCCAAGCTGTCAGCACAGAGCCCGATGCAGGGCTCAAACTCATGAGCAGTGAGATCATGACCTGAGCCAAAGTCAGACACTTAACCAACTGACCCACCCAGGCACCCCTAAATATTCAATCTTCTAACCCATGAACATGTTATA